CCAAACCAAACCAAACCACATCATACCACACCACACTAAACCACACCACACCAAACCAAATCAAACTGTTAAAGGTAAAAATTAAAACTACAAAAATCTCACCTAAATCTTGAGTTTTGATAGGAATTATGCCAAACCCATATATTAGTTTGATGAGAACAGACATTTTTTAGTATGTTGAGCATTCAAATTCACAAACATGGTATGCATCATCCTTCATTCTTTCATTATTTATGATTTCATTTCAACCATCAGCATTGTATAGTTTTCAGCATATATGTCTTATGCATATTTTATTAGAGTTATAGTTAGGGATTTTCTTAAGCAATAATAAATGGTATATTTTAAATTTTAGTGTCTATCATTGCTAATACACAGAAATACATTTGATGTGCGAATGTTTGTCTTGTATACTGTGGTCTTGTGGAATACATTGTTATTTCTAGAAGCTTTAAAAGTAGTTTCCTTAGGGTTCTCTATGTAGAACATCATGCTATCTGAAAATAAGGAAAAATTTTGTTTTTAATCTATATGCCTTTTCCTTTTCTGGTATAAGTGTACTGTCTGAACTTCTCGAACAATGATGAATGAAAAAAGCAGGGATAATGGACATCCTTCCCTTCTTCTTGATCTTCGAGTAAAAGTGTTCAGATTTCCACCATTAAGTATAATGTTAGCTGGAGGTTTTCTATGAGATGCCCTAGGTATATGCATGATTGTCCCATCAGGTGACTTTTTATTAATTTTATTAGTAAAAAGACCAAAAATAAATTAGCTTCATTTGTACCACCAGTGGTACAAGCTATCTGATAGGAAAGTCAAGCAAGTAGCACCAGCAGTTCAAGTCAGTTGGAACATGTTAAAGAGAACATCAGAAAAGAGAAAGATGCATCCTGTTCCTGGATAGGTAGAAGCAGTATCATCAAAATGCCCATACTTTTGACACTGATATATGGATTTAATATAATCACAATCAAATTACTAACAGCATTCCTTATAGAACTAGAGAAAACAATCTTAAAATTCTTATGGAAGCAGAAGAGACCCAGAGTGGTAAAAGCAATCTTGGGAAAGAAAAGCAAAGCAGAATGCATCAAATCCAGGGCTTTAAATTATACTAAAAAGCTACAGTGATAAAAACAGCATGGTATTGGCAAAAACCAGACATGTGGGACAATGTAACTGAATAGCGGGTACAGAAAAACTCCAGGCATACACAGCTATGTAATCTTGGACCGAAGTATCTAAAAGCATATGCTGGAAGAAGGATAGTCTCTTTAATAAAATGGTGCTGGGAAATTTGACTATCCACATGCAAAAGACTGAAGCTAGACCCATATCTATAACCGTGTACTAAGCTAACATCAAAATGGATCAAAAATCTAAATAAAACAAATATTTAATCTGCTGAAAGATCAGTTATGTAAAACTCTTGATGGCATAGGCATAGTCAAGAATTTTCTGAACAGAACTCCAATCACACAGGAAATAGTACCAAGAATCAACATACAGGACCATTTCAAATTAAAAGGCTTCTGCACAGCCAAACAACTAACAAAGTGAAATACAATCTACAGAACAGTCTAAAAATATTTGCTAGTAACGCCTAAGGAGATTAATATTTAAAATATATAAAGAACTAAAAATATTAACCCATCAAAATGAAAGACAAAATAAAAAAAGTGTGCAAGTGAAATGAATAGACAGTTTACGAGAAGTACAAATGGCCAATAAATACATGAAAAAAAAGTTCAATATCTCTGGCCATTGGATAAATGCAATTCTGTTTTACTAAGAACAAATGACTATCAAGAAATCAAATAATAACAAATACTAGAGATGCTTGGGGAAAAAATGAAGAATTTACGTTGTTGATGGGATTGTAAACTAGTACAACCACTGTGAAATTCACTCTGGAGATTCCTCAAAAAACTACAACTAGAAATTCCTTTAGCCTCAGCTATTCTCCTTCTAGGTATCTTGCCAAAAGGGCTAAAGACCTTGTACATGCATAGCCATGATTATAGCAGCACGACTTAGAATAGCTCAGTCTTGGAAGCTGCCTGTATGTCCATCAGTAGATGAACAGATCCGGAAAACACAGCATTTATCCACATTGGAGTACCACTCTGTCATAAAATGCTTCAATGAGTCATTTGTAGGAAGTTCAATGTACCTTGAGGCCCTAATTTTAAGTGAAATAAATCATGTAAAAGCTTAAATATGTGGTTTCTGTTACATAAGAAATGCAAAATATAAATAAAGAGCAAAGTCAGAGATAAGCAGCATTAAGGGATAAATCTTTTGCAAGAGGGTAAATGACCAAGAGATAGGAGGGGGAGTGAAGGTGAGGACGATGCGGAGAAGAATTCAGATGTGTTGCGTACCTGTCCCAACTCCCTACGGGAAATGTGACCATTACCAACTGCAAACATGTACCGATACAAAATAAAATAGAAAAAAAGACTCAGGATGTCAGCGTTGGGTTCAAGCCCCAGTACAGGAGAAGAAAATCTTGTGTTGTGTTGTCTTGTTGGTAGGGTAAGACCTTGAAGTTATTTTGAAGGAAAATTGACAGAGTAAGAGACTGTGGGGAGAAGGCAGGAGATTAAAAAGCAAATAGACTCAGGTTAAGACCGTAGGTAAAAGAAAACGAGCAGAATGTCATGAGTTTTGATTTTGAACCCAACTAGCTTGAGCTGTTAGCAAGACGTCCAAGCAAGAGTACACAGTGAGTATTTAGACTATCCAGTGTTGAGGGACAGATTTTACCGGAAAAATCCATCATTTCGTCGGAGAGTTTCCAGACCATCTAAACCCCACTCCTAACTTTATAGCCAACAGAGCTTGTGATTTAAAGCAGTGCACAACCTCTCACTGGGCTTTGGTTTCATCATCTGTAAAGTGGTGTGCATTGGCCCATGCTTTTATTTTTTTTGAACTAACATTTGAATCAGCATAATAGCAGGTATTTGGAAGGATCCCTGTAGTTGTTGGAATATTTTCCTTCCAGGTCTAAAGGTCTAGAAGTTTGCAATTTCTTTGAAATAGAAAGGTTTCTTCATAAATCTACTTTGGTGGCTGGCTTTTTACTTAGTTTTCTTTTTTGCATCAGAGCCTACCAGTTTATATTATGTGATGCTAGGAAGGTAGAGAAGTGAGAATTGCACATGTTGTATCTCAATCTTTCCAGACTTTCTAAGGATTTTTTTTTCTCTTTTCAACCTTTGCAGTTTTCAGGCTCGACTCTGCTCTGGGGAGTGCAATGAGCAGGTAGCCATCACTACACAGGAAGGGAGGGCTTTGTGGTATCTCAAAGCCATTGAATTTTATTTATTTCCAGTTTGCTCAACATTTGTTCCACAGATCTGGACAGTTTTCAAAAGGGTGGGGATAGAGAGAGAAGGATGAAAATTAACTGAACACAGAGAAAAGGATAAACACATTTGCTTTTCAGTATCAAACTGGGGCTTGGAATATTGAAAGCTGAAAAGAATTTTGAGCTTTATTTTGTCTTCCGGAAACCAAACACTGCTGTGACTGTCCACATGGCATCTGAAGGTTTTTTTTTCCTTTTTTACTTTGGTTGGGACAATTATTCGGCATCTTGTTAGTAGGACTTTATGAATGCATGTATTCTATCTATCCTAAATAGTAGTTATTTCTTTTCTTTCAAATTAAAAAGATATTTTAGACTTTGAAGTAGAGTAAGCTCCTTACAAAAAAATAAGAAATTGGAAAGTCAACCATAAGCCCACAATATAGAGCTAACTATTGTTAAGACATCTATTTATTTTCTTCCTGTCTTCTACACACACACACACACACACACACACACACACACACGGGATCATACCGAAAGTTCATTTATACGCTCTCTCTTCCTTCACATAGTTTATGCTGTTATTTCCTTATGTCATTAAAGATTCTTTTAAATAAGATTGTAAAAAAATTTAAATAATGGTATAGCACTTCACAGCATAAATGCTACTGCATAGTACTTAATATGGACAATTTAAGATATTTCTACTTTTTCTCTTTTAAATTGCATTATACTGAATTTACTTGTTTATTTTAAATTTTTAATTAAAATAGTATATTCAATGGGCTACAGTATGATAAATTTGATACATGTATACAATGTATACTGATTAAGTAAGAATAGTTAGCATTTGCATCTTGTGAAGCATTAGAATTGTTCAACACATAATTGTACTTTTTGGTACTGGGGATCGGACTCATGATCTTGGTTGTGCCAGGCAGGCTCTAACGTGGTGAGCTAAATCCCCAGCGTAATTGTACTTTTTAAAAAGATAAATTCCTTTGAAAAACAATTACTGAGTAAAAGTATAAGAGCACTGTTAAGGCTTTGGTGCATTTTGCAAGCTGTCTTATGGGAAGAGTTGTACTAATTTGCCTTCCCATGAGTATCTAAGAAATCCTGGCTCACTGCATCCAAGCTGAATAGTTCCCTACTACATATACCACACATGCACAACATTATTTTGTACCATTTTGATTCAAATGACATTTCCTAAGCACCTATTATCCGGAAGGCATTGTGCTAGGTAGCAGACTCTCTTGTTATGCCAAGTGCCTAACGTACGACATGGTGACAGATGCAAGTGGGATATAACAACACATGAACCTCCGTGGCCAAGGCTGACCAGTTCAGCCTTTAAATGGCTACTCATTGAGGAAAGACACAATGCTTCCTAATTTAAAAATAATTTAGATTTTATAAACACTTTAAAAAATAATTCATTAATGTGAATCTTGCAAAAAGGCAGATTGAATTATAATTATTCACACCGTATTTCCTGGTGTGCACTGGAGTAGGAATAGAGACAAATATTAGAAATCGACATCTTTCAACAGACAAACAAACAAACAGCAAAAATGTCCCAGTTGGTAGGATGTTTCTTTTAAAAACATTTCTCTTGGAAAGTTAACCTGGTGGTCCCTAGAGAAGAGGGACACAGAACATACAGAAAACTAACCTCCTTCTGGCAGCTGGGGATAATTTGTCAGGCTTCTTTGAAATGTAGCTTTGTGTTCACTGGTGAAGGCAGCTGGAAGAGAAAAAGCATGAGAGACAAAAGCTGAAATCCACATGAAGAAAAGTCTTTTTCCTAAAAATTACTGCCTGAGTTAGCAAAGGTCAAAACAGAAACTCCATGTGTATCTTCGCAGCAGTAAGCGTGCGTTCTTAGGGAAGGCTCCCTATTCTACGGGAGGCCTAATGGCTGTAACCATGAATAGAGCTGTTGGATGGCACTTCAGCAAACCTCCTCACACCCACAAATCCATCTAACATTGTGACAAAAAAGGCAGTGTCATTTTCTGAAATCAGTGAGAAACACTTATTACATTGAAAGGGAAGACATGCTTAATGTATAGTGGAGGGCGGTGTAAGAAACAGAGGTTTAATTATATGATTTCAAGTTCAAAGGTCACCAGTGACATAACTAAAATACTATTGGACTGGGAACAGCCTAAATGGGCTTCAAACAGTGAATGGTTAAAATGTGGTACATCCATGCAATGGAATACTACTCAGCAATACAAAAGAATGAACTACTGATATACGACTTTCAAAATACAGTGAATGTAAAACCACAATCTCAAAAGGTTGAGTACTATATTATTCCATTTCTATAACATCTTGGAAAAGGTGAAATTGTAGGAACATAAAAATGATCAGTGACTGTTCAGTTGGGAGGAAGGGAGGAAGGAATAATTACCCTGGGGTGTGTGAGGGAATCCTTTTGGGTGGTGGAACTTTTATATACAGTGATTGCAATAGTAGTGATCTGACTTTACGATCTGTCTACACTTACAGATTGTACATGTAAAAAGTACATTTTACTATGTGCTATTTAAATAAATGAATAAAAATATCATAAAAGTAATACTGTCAAATGTGGGGAGGTGGAGGAAAGAGGGAATTTATGAGTAGTGTTAAGTAAGCTAAATATTTAGTTTTATAGCAGAAAGTTGATATATAAGGTCCAAAATGGACAAATCCAGAAATAGGAGCAGAAACATTATTTAGAGACCTAGAATTAACCATCAGATAAATTGAAAACAAAATCTGTTAAACACTTTTGAGAAGTGAGACTAGAACGGGAGAAAGGTGGGCAAGGAACTGTTGTTTATTACAAGCTCTTCTACGTTATCTCATATTTTAAAACTATGTTCATTTATTACTTTGATTTAAAAAATGTAGAAAATGCAGTGGAACAAAAAATATACAAAATAGTTAAGACAATTATGCTGCTAATTGCTATTTGTGCCTATATTGCTTGATCAATTTCTCCTGCCTGTATCTTGTAATCTGAGCAACTACTTTGAAGATAACGATATACATTGTACTCACTATTGTTACTCTCCTACAATCCTATTTTTAAATTTTGTGCCCTTGTTTGTATGGCTTGTTTTTTTTTCTTTAAAATAATAAGAAAAAAGTCTTCACTGGACCGGGATTCGATTTTGTAGTAGTTGAGAGAATCCCTTCTCTCTCTAAGCCTTGATTTCTATACTGTATGATAAAGGGATTAGTGCAGATCATCTTTAAGATTTCTGTCATCCCTACAGACAATAGAGAAACTAGATTATTTGCATATTCACAATGAGCCATTGTTGAATGCTAAGAAACTGACCTTTTTATTTTTTAAAGCTGGTAGCGAATGAATCATCAAATTAGACAACTTTTTTTAAACAACGTAGGAATCAAGGCATAGATTAGATATAAGGTTTAGTTGGAATGACAGTTGCCAACGGAGCCAGCTCTGGGGCTCACACTTCTCTGTGGTTCCAGTCGTTAAACTATGCAGCTTCTCCAGTGCCCAATGGAATTGTTTCCCAGCATCAGCACTGACAAAAAACGTCCTGGGATGACACCAGGGTTGTAATTCAAATGCTGACATGGCTTTATTGGCTAAGCAGATGACTCCGGATTTTGGATGTGGTCCTTGATTTATGTATGTATGATTCAATGCCATAGGCATCCTGAAATGGGCCAAGACTATGCTAAAATCCAATCTGGGGGCTTTGTTTCCTAATAACTACCCAATAAGCTATCTTTGGCAGGTACTATTAGCTTACTGACTTCTCCTTCTTTTTGATGGGAATCACTTCATTCAAACACACCACCATTCTTATTCCAATTAAAAATAATGGCCTTATCTATTTCTCTTCACCAGTCCTTTATCTCTATGAGCCCTAAGCTTGAGACATATCTCATTAAAATTCACCAAGTAGGAAAAAAAAATATGTTCCTTTGGAAACTTACCAGCCATTGATAAATTTAAAAACTATTCTTGGTATGGTTTTGCAGTGCTCCTAGGAAAAGATTTGAAACGGACTCCTAATGTTGACCATACCATCTTCCAGGGAGAGATTTTCCATGACGACTGGCAAACAGGCTGAGAAGACATGCTTTCGTGAAGCACACCTAACCTCCTAGAGCCTACAGACTCAACTTTCCTCTCTTCACACATTGGAGGCTTGTAGAATAAGGATACCATTCTGCTAACCTACCATTCTTCTTCAGTGGAAACAGCAATGACCTTTGTAAGTCCCAGATACCTTCAAAGGCTGCGGCTATCTGTCTAGGCCTCAAGGGCGGTCTCTTTGGGACAATGCTCACAGTGTCCTTTTAGTTCTAGAATCTTCTTTAGCTGATGATGCATTAGTGCTAGAATTTTCAGGCCTCCTCTTGGTGCTTTGTCTACTTTAGCAGCAAGACTGTTTGTTTTCAAATCTCCATGGAAAATACTTGTTGGCCAACTTCTGTACCAGCCCTCTATCAGTGCTTCCACTCAAGCCTGGCTTTCTGCCCAGTTCTGAGGCCTGCCTCACCTACTGCCTGTCCTTTCCTTCGCAACAGGTGGCCGGGAGATCTCAAGTACTTAGCCTCAGCTGCCAGCATAGGGAAAGAGAGGCCCCTGTAGCTGAGCCTGTGACAAAGACAGCATTTGTTCCCACTCTGGTATTCTCAATATCAACAGCAGTGACAGGCTCCAAAGGAGATCACGTCCAGTTACTGCCTATTGGTGAGCAAGCCCAGGGATGGTCATACACCGAGCTTTGACTCTCCCCACTATGCTGTGCAGCAGTATTAGTATTATAACTTTACAGTGGGGAAGCAAAGTGCCTGGGGACTACAGATTTTCTTGAGAGAAAGATAATTATTTTGTTCAGAACAAGAATCTGGGGGCTGGGGATTTAGCTCAGCAATGTAAGTGCCTGCCTGGCAAGTACAAGATCACAAGTTCAATCCCTGGTACAAAAAAAAAAAGCAACAACAAAACAAAACCAAAGAATCCAGACATCTGGGTCAGCACACATTGGTTTCTGTGATTTGCTCATTTGTTTATGTGAAAAATGCTATATACTGGGTCTCTTGTCACTGAGTGACCATGGTGATGCCACCTAAAGTGATGGATGATGCAGAGGAGGTGCTGTGAGGGGACAGGTGGCTCAATACACTGCATGGGCATGGCAAACAGAGACTGTGCCCAAGACCATCTCTCCCAGGGTACAAGTGGCATTCCTGATTTCCTTCTGCCTTCTTGTTGTTCTTTCCTTGTTGTTCCTTTCCTTCTTGTTGTTCTACAACAAAAGTTGACCACATCATACACTAGCATGACAGAGATAACTCAGACAAGCCCTTGTCCTCGAGGCATGCATAGCTGGATAAGGGTACCACAGCCTCAGTGGTGACTGGGGGCTACGATAAAGAGATCAGCCTCAGATGGGGAGGTTTGTGCTTTCCCTGAACTCGCCAATAGAAAACAGCATTTGTGTTTTTTTCTAACTATAATGATAGTTATGTACTGAACTCACTTTGATTCTCTCCTTGAATATAGGATCTATTTTGTCATAGCTGGCAAGATTGCTTATAATATATCAAAGCAAAGCTTCAATATATAATTAATGTCTCATATCAGTTGATGTTGAGTTTATCAAAAGGAAGATGAGCCTGGGTGGCCCAGACATAATCAGGTGAAAATCATTAAAAGCAGGCCTGGGCCTATCCTGAAGAGACAGAGTATTTCTGGCTGGTCTTGAGGAAGCAAACAGTCAGGTTGTAAAGAGAGAGGCTGCCTCTATAAACTGAGCACCTCAGTATTAAGTTCCTCAGTGGCGAGGAAAACATCAATTCTTCTGATAACTTGAACAAGCTAGGGAGAAGACTCCAACCTCCAGATGACAATGCAACACCCGGACTGCAGACCTGGGACACCCTGACCAGAGGCCCAGCTAAGCTGTGTCCATGGAAACGGATACATAAATGTCTATTGTTTTAAGCTATAGCCATGTATCTTCTATACTTGTTTTGCTTTGATTGTTGAATTTTTCTTTTCAGCAATCAAGTGGTGCCATTTTCTAGTTCCTCAGTAAGTGAAACACGGAGTTACAATAGGACTCTACAGCTCTCTTCCTAGGTATATATCCAGGATAACTAAAAATAGATGTTCACATACAAATGTATCCATTAATATTCATAGGCGTATTTCTCACAATGGCAAAAAGATGGAAGCAATTCAGATATCCATCACCCAGTGAAACAGATAAGCAAGAAGGCACGTATTCATGCGCTGATATTATTCCGCCGTAAAAAGAAGTTCCAATACTTCCTACCCTATGGATGAATCTGGAAAGCATTATGCTAAAGACTTTAAAGAAGTCAGACACAAAAGAACGCAATATTGTATCCTAATTATGTGAAATATCGAGAAGAATTCAAAACTACACCAGTTGTTACACAGGGCTGAGGAGAGGGAGAGCTGGCAGTTCTACTTGGTGGAAAGGGCGCAGGATTTCCCTCTGCAATGGACAGTGCTCTGCGGCTAATGTGGTGGTGCCTGTGCATCACTGAGGATGTACTTTTGCCACTGAATTATATAACTTAAAGTTGTTGGGACAGGAATGTTTGCTCTGTGTATTTTATAACAATACAAACGTGGTGCCATTCTTTCTGCTGCTGCTGACATCATCTCCCATCATGCGTGCTGGAACACTCATTTTGCCTGGATAACCCTTACTTATCTGCTAGGACCCAGCC